CCTGACTTAACTACTCTCCACCTGACTTAACTACTCTCCACTTGACTTAACTACTCTCCTCCTGACTTAACTACTCTCCCCCTGACTTAACTACTCTCCACCTGACTTAACTACTCTCCACCTGACTTAACTACTCTCCACTTGACTTAACTACTCTCCACTTGACTTAGCTACTCTCCACCTGACTTAACTACTCTCCACCTGACTTAACTACTCTCCACCTGACTTAACTACTCTCCACCTGACTTAGCTACTCTCCCCTTGACTTAACTACTCTCCACCTGACTGAACTATTTTCCACCTGACTTAACTACTCTCCACCTGACTTAGCTATTCTCCACCTGACTTAGCTACTCTTCAAAAGCACCTGCTGCTGTGTGGGAGAAAATGAGGCTTTCTCCTCCTGGAAAAATTGACGGTCTCATAGACCCCCAGGGGGGCAGTTCCACTCTGTCCAGCAGGGTTGCTATGAGTCAGAATCAACTGGATTGATGGCAGTGAGTTTGGTTTGGGGGAGAGTTTCCTCGGTGGGTAGAGCTTGACTCGGTTCTGTGACTTCACATGAGTGATTGCAACCTGGAACGTGCCCTTGTGACAATGGCCTGGGGGCTGGGCTGGGTGGGGGGCTGGTGGGGAGATAATGGCAGCCAAGGTCACAGCCTTCACCTCTCTGTGCCACTGCAGGTACTCGGAGGAGGAGATACGGCAGAAGGTGGGGACTTTCCGGCAGATGCTGATGGAGAAGGAGGGCGTGCTCACCAGGGAGGACCGGCCTGGGGGCCACATGTGAGTGCTCACCCTAGCAGGTTGGGGGAGGAAAGGGAGGGAGCATGCTGGCTCCAGTGGCAACTGAGAGTCCCTGGGGCCTTGCCAAGTGCCCCCTTTCAGGTGATGGAGGAGGGCCAAGGATGAGGAGGGGGAGGAGCCAGGAGAAGTGGGAATGAGCTCTACCCACTGGGAGTTCTGGGCCTACAAAGGCACCTGGGCAGCATCGAGGGCCTCCTTTGCCTGCCCCTGGGTCTATCTATAGCTCAGCAGCAGGAGGAGCAGGGGAGGCCGCCCGGCCCTGGGCTTCAGAATCCTGGGCTGCACTAGAAACGCAAGCCCCCTTCCTCCCCCGTGAATACAACTTGTCGAGTGGGCTCCAGGGTAAGCAGGGGCTCTGGCGGGAAATAAGCACTGATGCATTAAATGCCACTGGCCTGTGGCCAAAGGCTGGGCACGTAAAGCGATTCAAGTGACAGGCAGGTAGAGGAATGATGGACCACTGGAGCAGAAGTCCTTGGGTGGTGCACAGGGTTTGTGTCCTGTGACCCACAGAAAGGTTGGCCATTCGAACCCCCTCAGCAGTGTCGCAGAAGAAAGGCTTGGTGAACCACGGCCTTAAGATCGCAGCCCTTAACCATGGGCTCAACATCCCCAAACTCAAGAGGATGGCACAGGGCAAGATAGTGTTGTCCCGCTGTGCATAGGGCTGCCTAGAGTGAGACTAGGTGTGATGGTATCTTACAACAACGAGGAGACACCTGGCGAAGACATGGTTACCTACTGGATATGAAAAGGAGGAGTTAGAGATTTAATACACCCCCCCCCCACAAAAAAAAAGATGGAAACCCTTGAAAACCCAGTTCCACTCCCACCCTGCAGCGGTCACCCTAAGTCAGAGTTGACCCAACAACAATGGGATGGCCACAGAACACTGTACAATTAGTGGAACTGGATGCAGCAGGGGCAGCCTGTCCACGCAGGTGTTGAGGCTGATGGCAGGTCGGTCACCTCGTGTGTGCACACGGGAAGCAAGGTTCCTGGGGCTTCCCCTGGCCCAGCCTGGGTCCCTCTCCAGCAAAGACGCTCTGGCCTCCTCTAGCCGGAAGCAAAGCTGAGGCTGGGGGAGGGACTAGGGTCCAAGTTGCTGGCTATTTCCTGTGGTGCGGGGCTGGTCTGGGAGGAGCTGGCATGATGAGGTCCGGTCCATTTTGGTGTGAGTACACCAAAGGAAGTCAGTGGCAGTCGTCGGATGGGTGGGCGCCTGACGGGACCAAATGAACCCTCTATGGGGAGTGGTGTGTGTGTGTGTGTGTGGGAGTCTTTGTAGGCTTCTGTGCTGCGCAGAGGATCAGAGACAGGGATGGGAATTCCTCACCATACTCACTTAATCTCCATCTCTGACCCAGGCAGGGGTCAGAAGCAACCTCAGGCTGGTGGGAGCAAGCCGTAGGGGATCTGTGGGTGTCAAGTTTATCCTGCCCACTCTCTGCCACCACCGCCTTCTCTTTAGCCTCCCCAGTGCTCCTGGGATCATCGCGCCCTCGCTGATATCCTAGCTATTCTGCCCTTCTCAGATTTCCTTACAGCCAGAAGGTTGCTCTCGGCTACTGCCCACACACCCACTCAAATAACCCTGGAGTTCTCTGAGAACCACTTGCCCGGGCCTCCTCCACGCGGCACCAAGGCAATCGACCTGCTCGGGACTCCACGTTTCTTCACTTTGAATTCGCTGTTATTAACCCACCCCCAACCTCCCACGCCATAACCCTAAGAAACTGTCCATCGAGTTACGGTCTCTGGAGCCTCCACACTGGCTCTGAGCCCTTCTGATGATGCCGCGCCTCCATGTCAAGCCCATCTCCTCTCCCTGGCTCCTTCCTCCTCGCCCAGTGGCCCACCCTCGGTCGGTTTTCTCCTCTGGTGACCGACTCCCATTTAGTCCGTCCTTTTCAACCACATTTCCATGACGAGTGAGTGAGCTTCTCCCGTCGTCATCTCCGTTCCTTACGCCGCGTTCCTTTGCCTTCGGCCCGCACAGCTCCAGTTCCTTGTTTGTACCTTGGCCACCCGGGTCCTGCTCACCACGGCCCATGGTTTCTCTTCCAGAAGGTTCCTGAATGCGCTTTCCCTTCTGGAAGCCTGCTTTCCCCTGCTCCCAACACACCGCTTCTGCTGTTCACTCTTCTCCTGCCTCCTTCCCAGACGTTGGTTTTCCCCAAGGTTTTTTTTCTTCTTCTCATAAAGATCATTTTATTGGCGGCTCTTACAGCTCTTATACTAATCCAGACATCCATTGTATCAAGCACATTTGCACATAGGTTGCCGTCATCATTTTCTAAACATTTTCCTTCTACTTGAGCCCTTGATATCAGCTCTTCGCTTTCCCCTCCCTCCTACCCCCCACCCCTGCTCCCACCCTCATGACCCCTTGATACTGGGCATATACCCAGGAGAGGTAAGAAATGGACCACAGCCAGTCATCTGCATGCCAATGTAGATTGCAGCGCAGTTCACAATCACAGACCATTGGAAGCAACCTAAATTTCCATCGATAGATGAGTGCATTAGAAAACTCCGGCACGTTCACACAATGGAGTACTTACTGCATATCCCCCGAGGCTTTGGCATGGCCTCATGTCACCTGTCTCCCTGCGTCTGCCTTCGCCCTTCTTCTTTGAGGGGTGCATGGTGGGGGGGGGGAACTCCTCACTCAATCAGCTTGAGTACTTGAATATTTTTCTGTAGTGGATGGAACCCAAATCTTTCCCAGGAGTGTTGGTTTGTTTAACATGTTATTTACATATAATTTGCATACCAACCATTCAGTGATTTGAATATGCAATCATCACCACGATCCATTTTAGCACTTCCTTCATTTTGATACTCACTGGTATTAGCTCCCCATTTCCCCCCAAGGACCACAAGAAACCATTAATTTAGTCACTGCCTCTGTAGCTTTACCTCTCCTGGATTTCATGTAAAAAAAAACATACAAAAATAAAAACTCAAAAAAATTTTAAAAAACTCACCAACCATAACAAAATAAAACACAGAAAAACCTCAATCCAAAAGAAATCAGAAAAAAACCCACCCTTGAGCAAATTAAAAATGGATCAAAAGGGAAAACAAATGGTAAGATGTTCAATTTTAACCTTTGTGGAACTTTTCCTCCAGTGTCGGTGCTGGTATCCTGAGGTTGGGGTGCAGGAGAAGGAGCTGGGATCCTTGCTCCCTGAGTGGCAAGACAAACTTCCAACCTGCAGCCAGGAATTGCCAACAGGCCCTGACAAGAGGAGACAATGTGTCCGTTTGAATTGTTTCCTGGGTGTTCAGTGGGACAAGGGATGGGGACAGACAAGGGTGGTCATCAGGAAGGGCTCCTTGGAGGGGTCGCCCTGAACGGCTGACTGGGGGACCCCCACCTCCGGAAACCTGAGATCTCCCAGAGGCAGGGATATGATAGACGGACAGGGTCCTGGGATCCCACTGTGGGGGGAAGACAAGGCGTTCTACTCCCACAAAGAGTTACGACTCAGAAGCCTATAGGGACAGTTCTGTCCTGTCCCACAGGTGGCCTTGAGTCGGGACAGACGATGGCAGTGAATGAGACACGAAACAAGGATACGGATTGGTTTGTTTGCTGCTGTACCCCTGGTGCAAGAAACCCCAGTATCTTGCTCAGTTTTCCCACAAAGCCTATTCCTTCTTTACACGGCGAGAGGACTGGACCAGAAGGCGTCTCCTAGCCTGAACAGCTTCAAATTGTATTACAATAGTGGCACCTTTCGTCACTGCAGCTAGCTCAAGAGGCTGGTGGCCGCCTGGATTGGTCCGAGTCCAGGGGAGCTGTTTGTGGTGCTGAACCCACAGTTGCCTTGGTCTGAGGTAGAGAGGGGAGGAGCAGGGAAGGTGTCGGACTGCTAACAGATGGATTGTGGGGCTTGTGTGCCTGGCATCTGACCAGGTCTGCACGCCTGGCCTGAGAATATGGGGAGTAGAGAGAGATCTCTGGTATCAGACACCCCAGTTGTCCAAACCTCCACTTCAAGGTTCATACCCTGGGTCCTAGCTCCACTACATCCCAGCTGTGTGATCTGGGCTAGCTCTTGACTATTCTGGACCGCAGTTTCTGGATCTATGGAATGGGGAAATCATGACCTACCTCCTAGGATTGTTGATGAAATGAAAAAGATTATGAACATAAGTGTGACAAATAGACAACACCCTGCCAACCACTGGCCACCACTGCCACCTTCATGTTGGCCCAGAGGATGGACTCATGCTCTCCTGCTCAGCCGGGCTGGTCCCCATCCTCTCTGACAACTGTAGCGGAATTCACTCAGGCATCCCTGGAGCTCCGGCCTTTGGTCTCCTGATCCTGATCCCCCAGCCCACCCCAAACCGATTGGTACTTTAAAACACAGAGAAATTAAACCCCCTCTTAGAGACTTAAGGCAAAGGCAGACCCAGATTGAAGGGTCTCCACATGGGGTGTCAGGGAAAGGAGGGGCCCTTATTCACTTCAACCCTTCTTGAGTGGTGAAAAGATCCCAGGTAAGCATGGGACTGCTAATCGCGAGATCGGCAGTTCAAACCCCCAATCTGCTCCTTAAGAGGAAGTTGAGGCTGTTTGCTCCCATGAGGCTGATTGAGAGCCTCGGAAGGCCTAGATTGGGTTGCTTTGAGTGGGAATTGACTCAGTGGCAGTGGGTTTGCTTTGGGTTTTTGTTTCTGGACTCGAAGAATGGGCACCATACTGCCACAACCAGGGCAGAGTTGATCCCAGAGCATCTTGTACCCAGATCCTCATGTTAATGAACTATTTCACCTGACCACCTTCTCTCTGTGTCTGTCTCCCTTCTACCTCCGGGGAAGACACCAGGATGTCATACGGCGGCAGGACTGGTGGTGCCAGCAGGTGAAAGGTTTCGGAGAGATGGGGTAGTGGGATCAGGCAGGTGTTTGATGGTGGATCCGACAGGTGTGAACCGGAGATTGGCTGTAGAGAGAGGTGAGGC